TAGAGTATTTGAGATTTTGCTGCCAAGCAGTTGTCATCAGTTGGGTTCAAATAAAATCTTATAGAAATTATTTATAGGTTTTGATGTGTTTACATCAACACAGTCAATCACCAAATCCTGATAATGTTTCTTAATTTTTTTTTTTATTTTATTTTATTTTATTTATTTTTTTTTTTTACATTATCCATTTTTCCTTAAACTTATGTGATGGTTAGTTTTACGTGTCAATTTGGCTAGGCTATAGAACCTAGTTATTTACTAATCTAACTGTGTGTTGCTGTGAAGGTATTTTGTAGACAGGGTTAACATTGATAACTGACTAAGTAAAGGAGACTATCTTTAAATTCATTCAATTCATTGAAAAGGGAGGGGAAAAAAACTTTCCTCTACCCTCATAGGTTATGTGAATGAGAGCTGACAAAGATATATTAACAGGAGGGGGAAAAAGAGTTTATTTCCGTGCATAACGGACATATATCGATAGCAGGAGAACTCAGAGTAACTTGAAGAAGTGGCTAGAATTTGGGGCTTATATACTACATTAATAGGTTGGACAGGGGGAGGGGAAAGGTACTTATGGAAAAACAAATGACCTTTTGGAAAGGTAAATTAATTTTTGGAGAATAAACAGGAGATAAGCATGTTCGTGATAATATTAGTCTTTATGGGTCTGAGTAATTTTCCCATCTCCCTCAGGGCCCCAAAGAATCTCCTCTGTAGAATGGATCTGGGGTAGGTTTTATATTATACTAGAGGCCCAATGCACCAATTTGAGCACAGGTAGGGGCCTTGTGGGAGGTTGGCAGGCCTTACTCCGGATCCGGGTAGGGGGAGGCGATCAGGGGCAGGGCCGGTCCCTGGGAGGGGCCGAAGGAGGTTGGCTGGGGAGTCGATCAGGGCCCCTGCATTGAACTTAATAGCATTTGGTCATTCTAGTCACTTGACTTATATATATATATTTAGTTATATATTTATATATTTATATGTATATAATCTCCGATTGGTTGTTTCTCTGGAGAACCCTGAAAGATACACATAGTCAGCATCCCCAATTAAGGAGCTTATCATCTAATATTTGCATTATTGGGAACTTAACGAGTCTTTAAGTGTTTCTCTGCTTCAGAATCTTATAAATCAACTTAAAGTTCATCTTCCTTTGGTTGCCTCCCAAAGCATGTCGGACAGAGCCCGATCATTAAGGAGGCATGCAGGCCTTCAGCGTTTTGGCTCACCCAATTCAGCCTCATTCTTCAGCACTATCTTTTGTTCTAGAAAACTCGTCTCCTGTTTTCTCGGTATGCTGTGTATGTCATTTTCTTCTTATCTGCATTTTTGATCACTCAGTTCCCCATTCCTTCATCTTTGCTTATACATACCCGACTGTTCTTCTAAGACCCAGCTTTTCTGACAAGTCTTCTTTCACTGCGTATATTAGTTTTCTGCTGCGGCTGCAACAAATTACCACAAATGAGTGGCTTAACACAGCACAGATTTATTCTCTTACAGTTTTGGAGGTTTAAAGTAAAAAAAAAAAAAAATCACTTTCATTGGACTGAAGTCAAGATGTCAGCAAGGCTGGTCCCTGCTGGAGGCTCTGAGGGAGAATAGATTAACTTGCCCTTTTCAGCTTCTAGTGGCCACTTCTATTCTTTGGCGGGTGCCCCCTTTCCCATCTTCAAAGTGCATCACTCCCGTCTCTGCTTCTGTGTTTGCAAATGGCCTTCTCTGCCTCCTAAAGTAAAGTCTCTCTCTGCCTCCCTGTTAGAGGGCACTGTGGTGACATTTAGGGCCAACCCAGATGACCCAGGTTACTCTCCCTACCTCAGACTCCTTAATTTAGTCTCATCTACAAAGTCCCTCATGGCGTGTAGAGTAACATTCCAGGTTCCGTGGATTGGGATATCTTTGTCAGTCGTTATTCAGCCCTCCACACTGCTCCATCTTTCTTTTTTCCTTAACTTAAGCTATCATGGTTTATTGATTAAACCACTTTCTCTCCAGCATCCTTCACTTCTTTGCATTCATGTCTTCTTTCCCACCTCTCTGAAATCTATTGTTTCTAGAAATCCTGAGTCCTGATTTGGGGAGAGGGAAGGGAAATTAGGCAACTGCCGATCATCAGCACTACAAATTTATGATGTCTAATTTCAGCTAAGCCTTCAATTCCCCTCAATAACCCTTTTAGTTAGTCTTTGAAAGCACTCTCTCCTAATCTACTGAGCAATGTTCCCTTATATGTCTTCTCAATCCACTCAATTGAGGGAGGGAGAAGGAAAGAGAGAGAAAAGCATCAATGATGAGAATCATTGATCAGCTACTTCCTACACTCCCCCTACTGGGGATTAAGCCCAAAACCTGGGCATGTTCCCTGACTGGGAATTGAGCCGTGACCTCCTGGTTCAGAGGATGATGCTCAACCACTGGGCCACACTGGCTGGGCTTGACTTTTGCTCTCAAACAGACTGACTTGCTTCCATTTCATTTAGAAAATCAAGGTCATCAAACAACAGATACTCCGAGCTTCTCCCACTCCTGAAAATGTGGCTTCATTTTTCACCGTGAGTCTCAGAGGATGAGCTCCCCCACTGCTTAAGACCAACGCATCTCTTTTGTTCCTTGTTATTTCCCAGGACCTTACTCTATCAGACATGCTCTCTTTATTCCAATTGCTTCCTCTCAATTCACTGTTTCCATTCTCTCAACAAATATTTATTGAGTGCCTACAATAAATGCAATCCTGCATCTCAACTTATGAGTATGATCAAGTTCTTCACACACTAAAACATAACAGAACATATAAACAGCAAACTTTCTTGATCTTTCATCTCTCTCTAGTGTCTGGTCTTTCTCCTTCCCTTCCTCAATTTGGATCTGACCCTCCTTCTCTCTAAGCTTGTTCATTTCCCAGTTTTCTCAAACTCAGTTCATGTGATCACCATCCAAATTAGAAACACTGTGCTCTTCATATACTAGTACAGTCAGTCAGTAACTAAGCACTTGTCTTCTCTCCTTGAAATCTCCCAAGTTTGTCCTCTCCAGTTAAGGTCCTTCAGGATATTTTGCTTAAACTAGATAGCATTATAATGTTAAGACTTAACAGTTAAGTGATAAGCCTGCCTCCAGTCTTACTTTCTTTTAATCCATCCCCCTACACTGTACCTAGAATTAGATTCTTAAAAAGATGAACTTAATCATGCCACTCCCATGCTTAAATGCTTTTAGTGATTCCAGTCGCCTAGGGCCTACGTGCAAGCTCTCCATTAGCATGACTCACAGGCTTCTGTGACCTGACCAGACTTACGCACCCCCAAATCTCAGTCATGCACTTGCCACTGTCATAAGTCTGCACGCTTCTCCAACCTGGCGTGCTATTTTATGCGTACACTTATGGGCTTTTGCTTATGCTGTTCCTGCAGCTTGGAAAGCCCCGCCCATGTTTGTTCACCTGCCACCTCATATCCGTCCTTTCAGACCCACTCAGGTGGCATTTTCTCCAAGCTTTCTCGGCACCAGGCTGCTAAATAACCCAGCTTTGTGCTCCCTGGGCGCCTTCTGCATATTTTATCATGTTATACTGAAATGACCTATTTACCCATCTGATTTCCTTATAGGCTCCTGAAGGGCACAGACCACCTGAACTCATATAGCAACAGTGGTGAGTACATCGTATAACTTTACTTTGAGTATTTGGGTATTTACTTTTAATGTAACTGTTGGGTCTCCCTCAGGGGGCTGGAAGCCCGTTAAGAGTAAGGAAGTTATATTTTTTGCATTTCAATCACTTTATTCAAATGTATATCAGTGCATCTCAATAATTTTATTGAAATGTATATCCTTAGTACTAAAACATAATGGTAGTTGGTTAGGTTACCTCTGCAAACTCAGAATTAACATGGATGCAATTAAAATATTGAAATGTATCAGCCTTTTGGGAAAACTGAATAGTTTTCTACAAAACATACTCTTTACAAAAGTATGAGATATACTGTGGTTCTTTGGTTTATTTTCCAGTGCATATTTATCCATAACATGATGTGAACATTAAGTACAATCATCTTGGATGGACTCAGGCTACACATTGCACTGAGTGGTTTATAACACTTTTAACATTGTAGATCTCCCTATATTCACTGACTTACTAGCACGTCCTGAACACTTATCTCAACGACCTCATGATTATAAAGATGAGTATTTACTTAAGACCTTCTGTTGGCACAGTAGGGAAAAATTAGTGAAAGTATATTCCCTTCATTTTAAACAGAATTGTAAATTGAAGCAATGGCAGTTTTATAAAAACAGTCCTTAGTAAAAACTTCTGGAGTGTTAAATCAAGTTTTTAGAGTGATGTTAATTTGAGTCACTAGTACAATAAAACAAATTTTCTCAATGTGACTATATTGAAGCAGATTTTGCATAAAAACTTTTTTCCCTAGACACAAACATTACCTGTCTTATAGTAAAAATGTTAAAAAAGAATACTCCAATATGAACAGGTATGTAGTTTTGTTTTATATAAAATGTGAATGTAATTCCCATGTAGCAATCAAGTTCTATTAATCTATTACTTGCATTACCATATAATCTATTACTTGCATTACCAGATAATCTATTACTTGCATTACCATATTCACTGCCTAAAATAGTGACCCTTATAATGTCTTAAAAGTGCATTTGTGAAATATTGGTTCTGATGTAAACCTCATAATTTAAAATTTAAATTAAGTAGGTCACCATTTTTAATACCTCCTAAATATACTGACCCAATATAGAAAGTTGGATCAATGTTAGAAATAAAGATTCACAATGTACCTTCCCAGACTCTTCTTTAACATTTCACATTATAGACTTGGCTTTGTTTGTATGCCTCAGCTGAGTTCAAATTTAAGCATAATCCTACTGTAGCATAATGTTAATTGGGCAGTTTTCCCAAATCTGAGAACATCAATGCTAATCCTGTTATGTTGTTTTGAGGACTCACAGCTTAAATCCACTCCAACAGTATGGAATCCATCCTTCAGGATTGTGGCGAAAGGCTTCAGAGAGGTTTTTGTTGCTGGAATAATCTAGTTAAGGAACCGTTTCAGGAATTGTTGGGAGGTGGGTTATTCTGTAGTAACTATGCTTCAATTGCCCTGCAGTTCACCCAGAAACAATCCATTTCAACTTCTGAACATTTGGTTTGGAGCACTTGTTTGATGAATATTCAGTTAAACACTTGGATACGAGTTCTTGCCAGAAGGTCAAATCTCTGCCATTTATCTTGGAATATTTCTGAAGACATTCTACGATTTCTGTTAACTCTACACACTTCTATGCTTGGATCTCCAATGCAATGATAGACAACACCAACACAGAAGGCCTTGTTTTAGAAAATAGGATCCTGCAGTGGCATGCCTTAAGTTGAGCTTCTAATCTTTCAAAATTAAGGCTATTCCTCCTTTCAAATGGCAAGTTCTCTTGAATGAGTGAATAGTAGAGTTGCAGAAATTGAAAGGCAGTAGTGGCTTTCACTTTCCGGCACACTTTCTCCAACACAATCTTCTCCATCCTCGTCAGGTCTGAAACTGTGAACCTGTCCTGGCTTATTCGGATCAAATCAATGGGACATTCCTTTCCTCTTCTATTGGTTTTACAGCCAGGTAGAAGCAGCTTAGTCCAAAACACCCAAGGTGCTTGGGCTGTACTTTCATTTTGGACAGGAACCTCTCCAGTAAATTCACAGCTAGAGAAAATGTCTCTGTGTCAAAGCCGAAGAAATGAGTTAGACTCAGGAGATCCTTCACTTCAAAGTCCCTTAGCCTCGCAGTCATCCTGAGGCCCTTGTCGTAAGCAGATTCAATGAGTCTCAGGCCCCAGACCTTTGGCTGGCATTTCGGCTCCTGTTCCAACAGGGCGTTCAGCTGGTGTAGCAGTTTCTGAGAGTTGGTTGTGAGGACCTCTATCATCCTGATCGGGAACGCTGCTCCTTCACTGTGATCTCCCCTCCCCGGGCCTGCCCGCGCCTCCGCCCACGATGTCCGATGTCCGATCCGAGGAGTCCTAGAGGCGAGGGGGCTCGCGGGCCAGAGGGGGCCGGCCCGGGGACGGGGGGCTGTCCCGGGGTGGAGGTCTCCGCAGCACTGCCCAGACGACACTGCCCCCCTCAGGGTCAGCGTGGAGCCGAAGGGCTATTTTATAATATTGTGTATCCTTATCACATGGCAGATTATGTGCATAAGTATATTTATTAATAGTTACTATTGTAAACTCTATTAAAAGTCACTTAAGTGTATTCTCTACTAACTTTGGGTTAGCTCTATCGTTCCTATGTAATAGAAGCAGCCTATTTCAGGCCAAATCTAATTCCAACAACAGTTTGAAATTCTTATGCTGATAGTTAATGTAAAAAATTGATTGAGAAAAGTGAGGAATCAGCTAATCATACACACATACAAATACACAGACACATTTTTGTGGTTGTTATTGTAAAAGTATCAGGCTAACAGGCAGAGATAGTAACAAAAATGAGCTCTCTTAAAGGGCACTTCCTCTGGTAAGAAACACCACATTTTATGCTGCATATGTCATCAGTCCTGTTCAACCACGTTCCTGGTGTGGTCTCCTGAAGTCCCTTCCCCAGCTTAAAATATTCAATATGCCACAGTGTCATATTTTGGGGTAGCATGTCCTGAACCTCATCGCCGATGGTATGATCTAATATGTAGAAAACCCTAAAGATTCCACAAAAAGAACTATTAGAACTAATAAATAAATTCAGCAAAGTAGCAGGATAAAAAAATCAAATCACAGAACCAGTTGCATGTCTATACACTAATAATAAACAGACTGAAGAAGAAATTATGAAATAATTCCATGTATAATAATACCAAAAATAATTAAATACTTAGGAATTAACTTAATCAGTGAAGTGAAAGACTTATACAATAAAATCTGTAAAATATTGCTGAAAAATTTTTAAAAAAATAAAAATAAATGGAAATATGTCTTATGTTCATGAATGGAAAGACTTAATATTGTTAAGATGTCAGTACTATCCAAAGTGATCTATTTTTTAAAATTGCCTTTGAGAGAGAGAGGAAGGGGGAGAAAGAGAGGGAGAAAGAGAGAGAGAGATCAACTCATTGTCCCACTTATTTATGTATTCATTGGTTGATTCTTGTATGTGCCCTGACTGGGGATCGAACCTGCAACCTTGGCATATTGGGACAATGCTGTAACCAACTCAACTACCTCGCCGGAGCCTTCAGTGCAATATGTATCAAAATCCCAATGATTCTTTTTCTTACAGAAATAGAAAAACTCATCCTAAAATTCATATGGTATCATAAAGGATCCTAGATAGCCAAAAGATTTTTGAAAAAGAACAAAGCTGGAGAACTTACACTTGCTGGTCTCAAAAGTTACTACAAAGCTACTGTAATCAAAACAGTGTGGTAAAGATATTAAGTCAGTCATATAGACCAATGAAATAGAATTGAAAGTCCAGAAATAAACCATGGCATATATGATCAAGTGATTTTTGACAAGAGTACCAAGACCATTCACTGCAGAAAGGATAATCTTTGCCACAAATGGTACTAGGGAAAACTGGATATCCATATACAAAATAATGACTTTGAATTCTTATCTAACAACATATACAATAATTAACTCAAAATGGACCAAAGACTGAAATTTAAGACCTAAAACTGTAAACCTCTTAGAAGATAATATAGGGCAAAAGCTTCATGACATTGGGTGTAGTAGTGATCATGGATGCAATATCCAAGGCACAGGAAACAAGAAAAACAGGCAAATTGGACTTTGTAAAAATTAAAGCATATTCTGCATCAAAAGACAGTATCTTCACTAATAAAAGAGAAAGATGCAAATTGGCTGTACTTTTGCAACACTCACCAGCTAATCAGAAGTGGCTATGCAAATTAACCCAACAAAGATGGCAGGTTAATTTGCATACACAGGTGCCAAACAGCCAGGGGTGGGATGATAGTGTCATCATCATGGCAATGACACAGGCATTCTGCATTGCCCCAGCCGCTCTGGGCCTCTGGGAAGCATGGGAAGGGGGAAAGGCTGCTCTGGCCAGAGCGAAGGTGGTGCTGGCAGCCAGGGGAAGGAAGGCCCATTCTTGCACAAGTCTTCATGCATCGGGTGTCTAGTCAACAGAATAAAAAGTCAACCAAAAATGGGAGAAAATATTTGCAAATTACATATCTGATAAGGGATTAATACCCAGGATATATTTAGAACTCCTAAAACTCAACCACAAAAAAACAACCTGATTCAAAAATGGGCAAAGGGTTTGGCTCAGTGGATAGAGCGTCGGCCTGCAGACTGAAAGGTCCCGGGTTCGATTCCGGTCAGGCATGTACCTTGGTTGTGGGCACATCCTCAGTAGGGGGTATGCAAGAGGCAGCTGATCGATGATTCTCTCTCATCGATGTTTCTAGCTCTCTATCCCTCTCTCTTCCTCTCTGTAAAAAAATCAATAATATATATATATTTTTAATATATTTTATTGATTTTTCAAATATATATATATATTTAATATATTTTATTGATTTTTCAAATATATATATTTAATATATTTTATTGATTTTTCAAATATATATATTTTAAATATATTTTATTGATTTTTCAAATATATATATATATTTTTAATATATTTTATTGATTTTCACAGAGAGGAAGAGAGAGGGATAGAGAGCTAGAAACATCGATGAGAGAGAATCATCGATCAGCTGCCTCTTGCACACCCCCTACTGAGGATGTGCCCATAACCAAGGTACATGCCTTGACCGGAATCGAACCTGGGACCTTTCAGTCTGCAGGCCGACGCTCTATCCACTTTGCCAAACCAGTGCTGGCTAAAATATATATATTAAAAAAAAAAATGGGCAAAGGACTTGAATAGACATTTCTCCAATGAAGATATAAAAACCCTATATAATAAAGAGGTAATATGCAAATTAACCCTCACACTGTCACAGATGGCTACGTCCACAACGGAGGCGGGGTTCCCATAATACAAGATGGCTGTGCCCACAATGGAGGCAGGGTTTCCATAACGAGTGATCAGCAGGGACCTGAGGCTACAACTCTGCACCCCCAGTGCCAGGCCGAGGGACCTCAGGCCATGCCTCCACCCTGTCGCCAGGCTGGGGGACCTGAGGCTGCAGCCCGCCAAACGGGGCTTGACAGGGGTGGGGCCAGGCCGAGTCTGGATCTTGACCAATGGGAGTAAGGCTGGCCAGGTCTGGGTCTCGCCTGATTTTGAGGCACATGTGGGTGGGTGAGGACTTGACTCTGGGTCCCTTGGCATGTCCCAGACTCTGACAGGAGGAAGATTTTCATATACATTTTACTAATTTTCTTTTATCTCTGACACTTCTTTTATAGAGAAAGGGCAAATAGCAATATTAAAATATTTCCTCTAATTAATTCCCTTTTAATGTGTACAAATTTCGTGCATCAGGCCACTACTATACTAATAAGCACATGAAAAGATGCTCAGCATCACTAATCTTCAGCAAAAAGCAATTCAAAGCTACAATGAGATACCACCTCACACCAATTAGAATGGTTAATATAAAAAAGACAGAAAGAAACAAACGTTGGCGAGGATGTAGAGAAATTGGAACCCTGAGTACTATTAGTAGGGATGTAAAATGATATAGTTTCTGTGAAAAACAGTATGGTAGTTCCTCAAAAATTTAAAAATATAATTACCATATCATTAAGCAATTCTACTTCTGGGTATATATGCAAAAGAATAGAAAAAAAGGTCTCTTATAGAGATATTTGTACACTTATGTTCATAATAGCATTATTCACAGTTGCAAAAATATGAAAGCCATGGATGAATGGAGAAGCAAAATGTAATATAATGGAATATTAGTTAGCCTTAAAAGGGAAGAAAATTCTGACATATGCCACAGTGTGAATAAACCTTAAGGATATGCTAAGTAAAATAAAGGCAATCACAAAATGACAAATATTATGCCATTCCATTTTTATGATATACTTGAGTAGTTAAAATCACAGAGACGTCTAGTAGAAGGGTGGTTGCTGGGGGGAGGGAGAATGGGGTTGTGTAGTGGGTATAAAATTGCAATTTAAAAATATGAAAATAGTTATGGAGATGGATGGTGGTTATGGTGCACAACCTTCTAAATGTATTTAAAACCACTGAATTGTACATTTAAAATGGTTAAGATAGCCAAAACCAGTTTGGCTCAGTGAATAGAGCATCAGCCTGCGGACTAAAAGGTCCCAGGTTCGATTCTGGTCAAGGGCATGAACCTTGGTTGCGGGCACATCCCCAGTGGGGGGTATGCAAGAAGCAGCTGATCAATGATTCTCTCTCATCGATGTTTCTAACTATCTCTCTCTCTTCCTCTCTGTAAGAAATCAATAAAAATATTTAAAAATAAATAAATGAATAAATAAATAAAATGGTTAAGATAATACATTTTATGTGTTTTATCACAATAAGAGAAAATTGGGGGGGAAATTCATGCCCTCCAATGACTGACACTATTAGATCTAGGTCTCCTTATCATACAGAGACACAAGGTTGTACATGAATAACTTAAATAAAAGCAGAAATTGACGCGCTCCTTAAGATGCACTGACAAAGTGTCAGCAGAATGAAGAGGAGGAAAGTATGACTTCCTGTTTGAGAAATCAGGGAGAAGCTCTTGAAGGAGTAAAGTGGAATGAATCTGGGATTTGGACTCAAGGGACCTGCTTCCCTCTCTCACCTCCACTACTTAAGGTGACACTAAATAAGCCTCATCACTGCGAAGGCCCATTTTTTCATATGTAAATGAGAAAGACTCACTTCTGTGTTACCAGATTATTCTGAGGATTTAAACAATGAAGAGAGATAAAACATGGAAGCACACCGAGGGATGCTACCTAGATCCAGAGCTGGCAATCAATA